CCTGATTTTAGAAAGTTCCTAAACCGTCGCATATCAAAAAGACTGTTGATGATTGTGTTCCGGGCAGTGTTCGCAAATGCTCTTTGTATTAGAGCATGAGAAAAAAAGCACCTTATCTGATCATGCCCTCAAGTAACCTGTGACAAGGGAACTTTAATAGAAACTCCTGAAAAATATATTCGTCGTAGCTCCCACACTTAAACATCACCTCACACCCTTTCTTGTGTCTGAGCCTCAGCAACAAGCTCCGATCAAGATGCTGTCACTTCCTGCCAACACTCTGGCTCTCCTCCTCTGATCTTCACCCTCCAGGAGCTTCCTAAATTGTTTTATTTTTCCTTCCTTAAGTCTTCCTCCACCTCTCCATGTCACTCCTTTACCCTCCCCTGCTTTTTCCTTCACATTTCTCCTCATTAGGAAACATCCATATCTAAAATTCTTGCTGGCAGGATCATCGCGGTGCAAAGTATTGGGACGATCACAGAAGGAGCCTTTAACGATAGGTGTGTACAGCTTTTTCTAAATCTAAAAAACACCCCAGCACAGGGCTGTCAGATGAAGGATGAGAGAGATGATGTCACATTGTCCAGGACAAAGGCCAACTAGACAGCAGAACATTAACACAGGGAAGTAAATTACTCATAGCCTACCTTATGTCTTTTCTTTTTCTTTTTTTTTTTTTACACGAGACTGCCATCGACAACACCTGTGTTTTAACATTCACTCGTGCTCTACACTCCTTTCTTTCCCCCTTTCACTCCTTGTTTGATCTATTTTTCCATATCACAGTCATATCTTGTCGCGAAGCTGTTTGTAGTGTTAAATCATCCTGCAGGGGCGACGAGATTTACTTCATTAACTGGTGGCAGAGTGCACTGCTTCACTGGAGAGTACGGGTCTGTCCTCGTGGGCTCTATCAATAACCATTAAGGATCCTCTCTCATTAGACCAAACCTCATAGGCCTCCAGGGCTTGAGAAATGGGCCCCGCCGTCTTATGTGATGGAGTACGCTTAGATGGCATCACCACTGTTTGGTAATGCAAATTGCAATAGTTATTTCCCCCTGAGGATGATTGCCACCAGCAATATGTACACAACCTCATTCTCATTCAACCTCTTTGCTTAATCAAGAAGAACCTCTCTCCCCTATCAGCAACCTCCAGTTTGCTCTCCAGCTCCTCCCTTTTCCCCTCGCTCTATCGTTTTACACACACTGACACAGACACACACACACACACACACCTCAAACCCATTCAGCATATCCGAGCCACTGCAGTATGATTATTCATATGGCAACGAGGCTGGATCAAGCTGGCAAGGCTGCCACGGCGTGATGGGAGTATTTCCGGATGATGACTTAGGAGTCCTGCAGCTTCTCTGCCAAGAGCAGGGAATTCAAACTTAATCAGGGCAAGGACCCCTCCCACCTCTATTTCCCAGAGAGCTCCACGGGGTTGAGGCCAAAACAGGAAATAGAATGAGAGAGACAAAAGTCAAGTCTAGGCAGCATCATGCACGTTCCCTCCCTCTTTTTTGCTCTCAGGGAGCCTAAGGTTTTCTCCCATGAGCGATGGGTTCATTTAAGGGCTACAGGAGAAACTTTTCTGTTTCACTCAGAGAGGAAGACATTAGTAAGATTAGCTTTGCTCTACTCTATCTGCCCTATCGAAACTCTTATCTCTCTCTCTCGCACACCCACACCGAATGTTCCAAATTTCCGCACACCAAGGCTGCTGTCCATCCATCACCTGGGAGCACCGCCGGTATGTTTTACTGGAGCCCATACAGGGAGCTCTGTAGCAAGCCTCCCAGCCCTCACCTCTTCCCTGTCCGCAGGCCGTGGTCACACCAAGGGGAGGAGGCAGTGATCGGTCCTGATCAATAATACATTGACTGCATTAAAGCTTATGAATAAGTCATGGACGCAAAGAACCCAGTTGATGCGCGCGCACGCACGCACACACACACACAGCAAAGTGATATTTTGCTTAGACAAGGGAGGATGAACAGACGGAGAAAGAGAACAAAACAAGGGCTTTAACTTGTAGGGAATTTATCACCCACCCACTGACATTTTGTTGCATGTTGAAGCGCAACTCTGTCTTTTTTTTCTCTCTCGCCCATCCTATTCACTGCCATTCTCTCTCTCTCTCTCTCTCTCTCTCTCTCTCTCTCTCTCTCTCTCTCTCCTCTCTCTCTCTCTCTCACGTAATGGCCTTTTCCTGCTGGTGGAATAAATAAGTTATTACATCCATGTGTCCTAGGGCTTAGCAAGGACCGTTTGAATATAAATAGTTCATTTGCCTCCATAGTGGAGGCTTCACTTTGTGCCATATAAATATATCTGTAATTACTTCTTTTTCTTCTTCTTTTTTCTTTTTTTACAAAGAGCAGGGTGACTGTTTTGGTTGACTGGAGATGCAAGATGAAATTGCCTCACACAAATAAGTCTGCCAACGGTTTACCCCAAACACCATCTCCAGACAGGAGGGAGCGTGGGGCTTGGCTCAGTGCAGACCTTTGTGTGCCGAGCTGACAATAAAGAGTGAACAGCCTGTGTGATGTTGTAGACAATTTTAATATGCGGCAAAAGAAAGTACAAGCGGTAACGCTGTCTAGAATTTGAATGTGAAAAATTAATGTCTCCGATGTATATTTAAGAGAGAAGCTATAACTATATGGCAACTAACCCTGCATGTGTGTGTTTATACACTTCGTCCAACATTGTAATTTCTTTTGGCAGTCAATAAGTTGGCATTGAAACTAAGGTGTGTGTGTGTGTCTTTGCATATTGTTGCTGCTTTCTTAAAACCTAGTAGTGTTGTTTATGACTTGCCCACCAAGCATTTTGGAGTTAATCCATTTCTTTCGAAAGGCCAACAGTTTATCAAAAATGTTTTTACGACTCTGCTGTTAGATGTACATGTGTGTGCTAGCAAGCACTCATCTGTGCACACAATTGTGGCTGCTCTCTGATGAGATGCCCTGTTGTGTGTTTGTGTTGTGATGATGTGCTCCTGGAGGAGGCGCAGGAAGGGAGTGGAAGCAGCTCTTTGTTTGTGCCAACAGAAGTATGTCAGACAGGAATACTCGGGGAGCAGTGCCTCAGAAAGAGACCGCTGCCTGTTAACTTACATGGCAGTGGAGCAGTGTTGAAGCAGGAGAGGGAGAAAAGCAGGGATGGTTGGAAATGTGTCCTCAACAGAGTGATAGGAGATGGAGACCGCCAAATATTACTAGACACCTTGTTGATAAGAAAGTATTTATTAATTAGCTGCTAGATCCTGGACAAAATTCAATATCTTTTTAATTCAAATATTGCATGATAGATTACGAAATTATAAGCACGGGTGTGCTCACATTTTTGGTGTTTGTTCAACCAAAACTGGTGTTCTGAAACTGCTGTTTGTCCACAAACATGGCAAAGGAGCTTCAAGCCTGCATGCTAAGATTTAGGCTTAGTGAAGCTAAACAACACTGAAAACTGAAAACTCTTTCATCCATGAATAATAGAAGGCATCTGAGAAAACATTTTCTCACATCTCTGTGGTGACTCTGACCTGAGGCTATCCTCATTCATCCGTTTGTTTTGAATACACTAAACTTATAACAGCGTGTCAATGGTTCCACATTGATGCCTGACGGGCAGTCTTTTGTCTCATTTGATTGCAAGGTTTTAAATAATAGACTTACTCATTATACTGGTATTGGAATGGCTTTTATCCTTTTATATTTCTGTTTGTTTGTATTTGAAAAATTGCAAACGCTAAACTGGAAAGCGTTTGACATATTTTGTGTTGCATGCACATCGCATTGAATATACTGTGCAGCTGACTGTTTTGCATTGTGACTGACTGAATTCTTTGTGTTTCTATGCGTCTTGTCAATGCTCAATGTGCTTGTTTAGAGAATGATTGATTGATTTGTTTAGCTTGCTGTGATGCGTACCCATTTGTGTGTGTGTGGTAATATTGCTTGCTACGCAAATTACCTGTTGCTTTATTGGTTGCCATGAACCACCTTTCCTCCAAATGTAATAACCAGAGAACGAAAGTATCTGTACTGTGGTTACTTACTGATGTAGCTGCTTAATTGACATTGAGCAGGTTGGCTGTTTTTTTGTTGTTTTTTGCATCCAAATACAGCTTTTCTAACGATGATATCAGTTCTGACCTTGAATTCAAAATGTCAGTTATATCAGAAAAGTCAGACCAGCTGCCATAACAGTTAACTTCTACTCCAGTCTGCGTACTATAAAGCTATACATAGTATGACATCAGAGATTTGCTTGGGATAATCTCTTCTGATGATTCTTGCTCTGATAGATGGCAGTACATTCACAAATATAAATGCAAACTAGCTGCACAAGGTCATAGGAAGTGATTGTTTTTGGTGAAATTAGATGGCATAGCTATAAAAGTCCATTGAATCTCATTGAATTAAACAACACCCCCATACAGTAAGTGTGTGTTTAGAAAAAAATGCTGACCTATAGTCTTTTGAAAATGGATGTGGTACCGTAGATGCAGGGGGGGATTGTAATAAGAAGGATGGAGGGTGGAATGTGACAAGTTTCAGGAGAGAGTTGCTTCTTAGGGAGGAGCAGTGCTCTATCACCCTTATGACATTGTCCAATTAGAGCATATGATTAGTGTAGACTGTCGCCAGTGAAATTGAATCTATCAGCCAGGCTCGGATTGCTACAGGTCCCTGCAATTTAGCTATCACTTTGTCTCTGTCACCACAGAGCTGTTAATATAAAACCGACAGAATGGATGATTTCTACTTAAGGCGTAGCTTGATTGAAGCTGATTACATTTCACAAAGGTTTATTATATTTCCATAATATGTGCGCACGGTGGATAGGGCGTGCGGTTGGGGGGGGGGGGGTGTTTGTCTGGCTGCACGCAGGTGTTTGTGAAAGAGAAAAGAGAGAGGATAGTTGGAGGACTTACATTGATGTAATTTGTCTCTGCTCTGTAATCTTTTTTTCCCCCAGGCTACCAGAGCCGAGGGCAAACCCCATGGACCCACGGGATTATGAAGACAACGATTCTGGACCATCCATGGACCACGCTCCCTGATACCAGCAGACCAGACTCTCACTACATCCACCTGTCCTTCAATGTCTGCTTCAGCCAGCCGTCAGCCCTGTTCAGCTGTCAGCCGTCTCCCCTTTACCCTGCTCCGCACCCCTCCCTTCCCGGTGCCTTCTGGCAGTGAACTGACCTTGAAGAAAGCTGCTGTGACAAATATGGATGGCCACGTCTTTTCTGCTATCAAACTTTTTTTTTAAGTTCCCACTAGCTACTAACTTTCTTTAATTGAAGCAAGCAAGTTAGTGCAATCAATTACCATCAGGCTCAATTTCCACAGCCAGTCAGATCCTTGGCTTACTGGTGAGCCTGGCTGACTCAGAGAAGAGTCCTTGCTAGGCAGCCGAGCGGAGCATCTGTTAAGCCCGACAGATGTCAAAAATGGGAAGTTCGGTGACACGGTGCGCTTCACACTTTATCATTATTCACAATATAATTTTGGCTCTGTCGTTTTGACAAACATTCTGGGCACTCGGAAAGGGAACATTTGTCTGATGCCACAATGCCTTACGTCGTCAAGAGAATACATTACAGTTGTTTTGGGTGTTATATTTCTATTGTAAAAAAAAAAATCTCTACCTTTCATTCTACAATGCTGTCTCTTGTACTTTCCATCATCCTGTTGCAGTCGCCCCTCCTTTCCCTCCATCCTCTGCCTACCCACTGATTCTTTATGCTTGTAGACTTGTGCGCACTTCCTAGTGTGCTTGTCAGATCTATTATAAGAAGCGGGGGACATTTTGACACCTATTGATTGCCGAATGCTGCTGAGTCTTTGTTAGGTGAAAATCGAACTGTAATTTGACTGTGCAAAATAGCGCTCCCGCAGTATCAGCTTTCTATGTACTGTAATGTAAAGGCTCATTACTCCTGGCCAATCTGCACCGTATGACGGATTACCGTCCAGACAAGTGTGTATGCACTTTCGACCTTGACCCGCTCAACCATGGCTTTCATCCATGATATACTGCCGCCAAGTCTATCAGCAGTTTGTTTTTAGTGTGATTGATTCTTTTGCCTTAAATTCAAAAGGGAAAGCGGTGTCACCCGTAATATGTGGGGCATGTTTGACAACAACATGACTTCACTACTGTAACACTGCACTGAGAGTTGTATACCCACCCAAGGGAAATGTTGGTGTGTCAGCAGCCTATTGATATAACTCCAACATCTCATTCTTTATTCTAGTGAAACAACAGACAAGAGTCTGACATTTCCTCTTGTTTTTATTTGTCTATTTTTATCTTAAATCTATAAATAAACAACCTGTTTCTTAGATTGGATGTTTCACTTTATGGATGATTCCTGCCTTATTTGTCTCTCGCAAAACACTACAAACACCTGAAAACCATTAGTCTTCCAAGACATTATTATCAGAAAACCTTACAGGCATGTGATGATGGATGGAGATGGGAGAAGAGATGAAGTGCTGTAAAGAGGTAATTCAGGAAGGGGAGGATTTCTAGTTTTCCTTCATTACAATTCAAAGCAGCAACCCCTTCAGAGAGGACTGGGAATTGGAGGCTGGGGAACAAAAGGGGGTGATGGAACAGGCGAGCTCTTTAGGGTCTCCTCTTCGTCATAGGCGCATTTAAATACAGACTGGTTTCATGTCCACAGGCCCTGACAAGCCAGAACCCACTTTCATCAACTTGCACCCCCAATCAGAAAGCCTTTGTTTCTCTCCCGCTCGTTTTTCTTTCTCACTTCACTTCTCTTGCCTTCTCAGAATCACACCCTCTGCGGCTCACATTGGCTTCACACCTGCTGTCTACCAGAGCTGCTTCATCAAGCCAAGAATGCTTTCTCAGCTTGTCCCATCTCTCTGCATTGAGGTATCGTCTCAGAAATTCATTTACCCAGTGGCCATTGCTATCTGGATGCTAACACATCTGGGTTTGCATTCTCTTGGGAGTTTCCCTTCACAAAAATAATGGGCTTAATGATTTACCGCACGAGGCATTGATCCTCAACATTCACTGAGCCACTGCTGACTGACCAAGCACCAGAGCACTCAAAACCTTTTAGAGGTCCTATTTTCTTGTGTGAGTTTTAGAGTGGCTGTGGCTGAATTCATTTTAGTTGGCCATGAGGAGGCATAGCCAGACGCGGCTATCTCCTGTGCTATCAAACGGAAGCTGGGTTCAGTAAATAATCATTATTCCCTCATCTGCGTTGTCTCTGTCAAGGAGTCCAACCTGATGAAAGAAATAACACACCTGAGGGGGGGACAATGTGCCTGTTGTCTGTCTGTGGAGGAAATGGAGAGGAGAGGATTGTCTAATCTAATTTAGCCAGGGAGACCACAAGGTTCCCTTTTTCCACACCCAATTACACCTGCTCTTCCAGGTTCACTTCACTGAGCATGTTCACACAGAGGCACAAAGACACGCAAATAGACAAAAGCATAGCTGTAAGACCTCCGCTTTCCTGATGGGCAAAAATAGACTATTTGTGTATTTGTATTGACATGAATTAATTGCTTCATGGGTTGTGAGATTGAATTAAGTACGTGACATGCTTGCTAGTGGTGATGCCGCTTTGATTGCTGCATTTAATAGAGCCTATTTCTCTCTGCCATCATTTAAAAGACAGCTGGAGTCTGTGGTTTCACAGTAATGGACCAGCTCCACCACCCACCAACCCACTATGACTTAATGATTTTGTTTATTAGAATGCAAGAGCTACAAAAGAAATAGGAAATGTCTCTAATAACAGGCCACACATTGCCGTGAGATGTTTGTGTGCGCAGCAAGTGTGTGTCTATATGTGTGTGCATTTGTGAGGATGTGCATTAGCCTGTGAAAAATGACAGTTTATTTGCAGAGACCCACACCTCTTGTACCATTCAAGAAAATGTATTGCTTGTCTCACAGTAAATGCACTTTCTTATTCATCTTTCCCCATGGCCTCTTTACACACACACACAAAACACACAAAAACAAGGAAATAGGTGTCAGCCAACGGGATGCTCACCAAGACTTTTAAATTTTCCACAGTTTGCTTTGGGTTCAACCACTCTCTGAAACCAGACATGACTATTACAAGACTCCAAAGTAGTGTTATCTTTGAGATTAACATTTCCATTCCTTGTGGTCATGTATATGGATTTCCAGTGTGTTTACTATGCGTTCTGGATAGAAAATTGGAGGTTCAGAGCAAACAAAATGTGCATATTGCCACAGGAAATTACGCACGTAAGACGCACAAAACTACATAAGTGACATTTCATGAGGCAAGGAAGTGCTCTCTGTGTTTTTGGTTGGTGTTTTTAGTCATGACTCGCACTAACACCCCCAAGCTTCCAGTTCATGTAATGTGTTCAACAAAGGGCTGAAGCACCTCTGAGAACAGGTAATAAATCAATCCCTTCCCCATTGCTTTTTTTGGCTCATATGAGATCCAGCTAGCAAGAAGGTGATGCAGATTGTGGACCATCCCAGACTTACTGACAGCAGGCATCTGTCAGAGGCGGCAGCTACAGACAGCTGTCTGGCAGCCCTGGCTCATGAACAATGACTGGGTGGAGACAAGATGACCGGGGAATCCATCTCTCCTCTCGACAGGTTCCATCACTCTTACAGCAAAGACACCTAAAGGCCTCTGTCTCTAACCTCTGGGCAATCTTTTCCTGTCTAAGCATCCTGCTTAGACAAGTAAAGGAATTGTAGGGTAGGAAGAGAAAGGAGACTCACACAAGGTTTTAGAATGAGGATAAGAGTTTAGCATTAAGCTCGCAATGGGGAGACATAAACCTGGTCACATGTGAGGTAATAGATGGGGATCATGATGGCAGGGATGCAGTGGAAAGGAGCCTGGATCCTTGGTTTCCTCCAGCTGATAATGGAACGTGCCTCTGAATAAAATGAACATCCCGCCTAGATAACACCTACTGCTGTTCCTTCTGGGAGCTGTAACACATTATGCTCTCTCTGTCACAGCTGTGATGAATCATCCTCACAACAAGGATGATTGTGGAATGTAGAGAAGTGGGAGGCAAAGATTTAACATTTGCAGGCTCGCTTTCCAAAATCTCAGCCCAAAGGTATGTGGAAGTTAAAACAATATATGTCTATAGTGTAATATCAAAACGGAGTATTCTATTTATTTTTGACACGAATATGTCTAAATGTCTATGACATCAAAAAATGATTACATTGCATTAAAATCCTGGAGGTGTGAGTCCTCGTGTTTCCTTTCACAGGGTTTGACATCCGCCTACACTAACTGTTTACCGAAACCTGGCTTAATCCACTCATGTTTTCCCCTCCATCTCTTCCTCGCTCCCCATCCTTCGTCATGCCTCTCATCATTCATGCTGTGTACACAGTCTGTCCCTTTCTGGTTGCCCAGGCTCCTCCGGAGCTTGTTAATTGCGTTGGTGACACAGGTCTGTGTGTGAAGCAGCAGTAGTAATTGCTCTGGCCTGGCCTGAGGAGAGGAAGGGTACAACTGCCTGGCCTCCAGGTCTGCCCCGAGGCTACGAGATTAGATACATGCTTCCATGTTTGATGAGACGGATAGCATTAGCAGTTTTATCAGGGGCAGACTGTACCATCAAACTTGTACTGCTGTCCTCATCGGGGTTGCCAGAATATTTTAGTTCATAATATGTTGGATATAAATGTAATGCTACAGATACTGTATAAATATGGCATATATGCTTTCTTGGAAGTATAGTAGCTGGAAAACAGTTTGTACAATGTTGTGATGACCTTTAGATTACAGCAGGGGCACTGTGTTAACCATTCAGTTTATTTGTTTCTCCTCACCTTAATACAGGGAGCTCAAATGCCATCGCTTTTAATAATTTGTAGACTCACATGCAAGAGAGTTGCATACTTAAACACCTGCTGTTGTACAAGTAGCTTTCTCTCCGTTAGAAGCTCAGAGTCAGTGGCTCCCATTCATCAAGCTGTTTTGGAAAAGACTGGAGATGTTATCCTAAATACATCATGTGGCGGGAAACCTGTGAAATCACTTGACCACTGATATATAAAAACAGTCAAAGTGGTGCATTTTGGTTTATTTAAAAGAAAGCATGGCACTGTGTTAGCATACCTTGCTGAAATTTACCAAAGCAGAAGTTGATATCTTTGTTTCAGGGGTTGTGTCGAGTTGGGGTTCTGGCACACTCACACAAGGTGAATGGAGAAAGGAGGAAAAGATGAAATCTTAAGAAACACTTGTGGTACTGAGAACAATTAAGACCAATGAAGGCAACTGGAATTGGATGTGATTAAGGCAACAGGCCCAAACCAGGCAAGGTGGTTCAGTGGTTACAACAAGTAGGTCCTGGGTCCTGTTGAGACATACATGTTAGGTATTGGGAATGCACTTAACGTTATCCTTGACTAACACGCTGGCCTTTAGACCTTGATTTGGTTTCTTGGGGCTGCAACACAGCTGTCTACTGTTGCTAAATAGGTCAAATACAGAGGACACATTTACTCACAGTGATTAATGAAGTAGAACAAAACAGGTGTTGCTTGACTTTTCAACTTCAAGGTTGCTTGAGTTGCTGCCAAAAGCAACTTGGGGGGGGGGGGCTATTGAAGTGTGCTTAAGTAAAAATAAGTTTTGTAAAGCAATGTATGAAAGCTATTTTGTTATCAGTCAGCTTTGTTTTAACCAGGAAAATTCAACTTCAGGATTCCAGTCTCTAAGATGATCAGTATTGTTCCCCACCCTGACCTTTCTCACCTGTTCTATTTCACACCCGGCTGCACAACGGCCACCCTCCAGTGTGGAACGGCACATTGAAATTCACGTGCACTGGACAAATCCACCAAACCCCTACCCCGTATGCAATATGTGGAGTATGTAGAGTTGTTCTGCCCTGCTTTTGATATTGCGTGAGCTGAAGCAGTCAGAGACATGGTATGCAAACGGCTGTTTGTACAACCACTACCGGGTGTGGGCTTGATGGCTTTGCTCTGATAAGCCAAACTAGCACTGCTCCACAGTAGAGGGTTCTGCTTGTGCTCATGGGTTGTGCTGTGGCAGCCTAAAATTGAAGTAGTTATCTTTGCACCGAATCAGCAACTACACTCACAGAAGTGATTTCCAAGTAAATGTGATTGTGATTTTAGAGCTGTGATAAAAACCTTTGTTGTGAAATGAGAGTATGCTCGCTCTAACACAGTTTAACAATGCACTCTATCTCACTATCTGATGGGAAATATATTTTAGTACACTATTTTGTACAGTAGTGTACAAAGTGTGTTTCACAAGTGCGTTTGGATTTCTTTGTGAGGAGCAATGGGATTCTAAATGAATTCAAAGTTTAAAAAAGTAACTAGAAACTGTGTAGAAAATATAAACACAGGTATGTCTATCAGTAAGAATGTCTACAGTCGGCATGATTTTATCCATTTAGTTCTGTACCGACATGTTATTTTACTTTCTGTCCTCGTACTTACCGCCTACACAAAATGTTTCTTCTGCAGACTGCGATGACTGCTAAATCAAGATGACAAGCAGCTTAAAAATCAGATCCTAATTGCATGCTGTGATGATAAGACATTAACTAAACATGCACTTTTTTATGTATTTTCACAAGATTTTCTCCCTAAACAGGAGTCTTTCCCTGAACTGCAACCTCCTCTCAAGTGGAGGTTGTGTAGAACTGAGTATAAAATAAGAAATAAAACATGAATTTATTTGAAGCTGTTCATCCTTCTCTCTCTGTCATGGCCACATACTCTAACACCTCTGTTCCTGTTTTCTGTTGGTGTGTCTGTCACCTCTGTGGCGTTGCTACGCTTGTTCTCTAAAGCACCTATAGAGCGAACACTTGCAGGTATGGCAGATGTGTTCAAGATGCTGGTGCTAAGAGACTACAATCAATACACCATAGTGTTACATAGTAATACTGGATGGCCAGTACTGTGGCCCACAAACCCCCAGTAGACATCTGTTCATTAATTTTACAAAGTAAGTTACAGGATGAGAAATTGAAAGAGATGAAAGAGAAATGGTGAATTTTTTTTTGTTTTTTTTACCTTGGGAGTCTTGCCATTTTTGATGGATTTCTCCTACACTGGAGCGGCAAATTGGCAGAATAGACATTTCAGTGTGTTATGTTTGTGATTTAGCTTCTCCTTTTTTAGGGAGAGAATAAAAGGTGTGGTCTCGAGGGGACAATATTTTTCAGCAGAAAAAGACAGGACCACATTACAAAGAGCATAATATATAATGTGTGAAATGAGGTGCATTTTGAGAAGTGGGAGAAATAAAAACTGTAAACAGGGCACGAGGCAGGTTCTGCACCTGGATCGGAGTTCTCTTGCAGATAGAAAATGTTTTTTGATGTGTAGACAGACCTCAAAGCAGAAATATTGGTGTTATTGCATTCAAGGAGCCAGTTCTATTCATTACACCTTTCCCAGCTACTTTTTCTGTCAGTAGCCTAGTAGTCTGTGTTCAATCATCCTTAAGCAATATTGATGCATATTTTATTTGTCGTAGAGGAAATGGGACATGGGACTTATAACAAAGGGCAGATAATATGGAGATGGAGAAGAATGAAAAGTAATTCTATTCTGCAAACTGATTGCAGTAAACTGACACATCAGGGCCACTGTGAAACAATGGAGGGAAGTGAGCTTTGCTTTCAAGGCTAAGAAGAGGCTGATGTTGAATTCAAATCATGTATAATACACACAGGTAGCACAAAGGGATTAAATGTGTGTGTGCTTTTGCCACTCGTGTACACCTACGCCACAGGAGGCTGAAATCCTGTCTTTCTTCGATTTCATTGTCTCTCCAAAACAGGCTAACATCCATTAGTGCTGGCAGGCAAGGGATTGAGATGAATGTGTTCCAATTTTAACCACCCCTCTGAGTGCCCTGTAGGGTCTCGCGTGTATACAGGAGGACTGTGAAGTGAGAGCT